GAAAAACGAATGGCCAACGAACTTTGTGGCACCCTAATAAGAGGTAGCTGAAGATACAGCACAGTTCCGTGTGCTTTACCGTATATCTACCGTACTGCTTCTTCACGCGAAGTCTGCCCACCCCTGGGTTGTGAAGAGAGCGCTGTTCGCAACAAGTATTGAATTGCTGTTGAGGTCTGTACAGGCGATGTGGAGCGACAAGTGTCGCGAAGACTGGCTTTCGAGATAGCAGTGAAGTATGACAATGACAAGGATGTGCTTCGAGCTGGTCTTAGGTGCCACTTGACACTACATGTTGCATTGAAATTGTGATCTGTGTGTACTGGAATGGATGCCATTCCATTTAATATTTTGCAGCTTAGTCAACCCGTTATTACTTACTTACAAAACCCTAACCTCACGGCTGACCGGCTCACCAATTTAAACGTGTGAGTGCTGTAAGGCTACGGCATAAAAGCCGTTAAGCTGACCAGGAAAGGTCAACAGGTCAGCCTGGCCATTTGCAATGAGATGCACATCACTGTACTCATCTTGACACGTGAACTCAGAACTGTCTTCAAAATTTGCAGAACGATTCTCTGAGCGGAGTTATGGAGGTTTTTCTTTACTGTTTTTCTTCTTCCGGGCGCGCTGGCGCCGAAGCGTTGGCACATGTAGCGCGACTCACAGCGCTCTTCGCGCAAAACAGGTATCATATTCGTGTTCAGGGGGTCAAATAACCCCTAGGGACGTCACCTTAGCGAAATCTGAGCTTCTGACTCAACTTCGAAAAAATGGGGTATGGATAGTCATGGCTAACTGATAGCTAACACGATACTATGACTAGCATACTGGTGATGACTGGTCTTCGAACTGAAATAACTCTTCAGTCATGTCTTTTTGCAAACAACAGTACCTGGCTTACTTATTTGTGCCGTCTGCATCATTTTCTTGACTATCGGGAGGAAATCCCATTCCGAGACCAGTCATCGATGGTAGGTGAGCTCCAATCTGCTGCTAATACCCAATAGCCCACATTTTCCAAGTGAGGTCGAAAAATCAGATTCGGCTAGAAACTTGTCCCCAGGGGTAATTTCGACCCGCTGAACATGAATAT